TTTTCCTTACGTGGCTTTGTCCATCCTACTTTTTTGCAGTTCCTTTAGCCTCCCGTTTAATTTTCATTGTGATTACTGTCTTAAGCGTTAGCTTCTTCTCAGGCGAGAGCTGTGATGTATTTGTTTATTAATAAATGATCGAATGTTTATTTATTTTCCTCTCTTTCTTCTGCCTCTCCTCATTCCCGGGGCAAAATATGTAATGCCTTTCACCTAGAGGTTCATCTGCGATTTATATCTATCTATGTTTACCTATCTCTCTACATATATGTATATTTATATATACATCCGCACACACACACATACACACACACACACATATATGTATATATATATATATATATATATATATATATATATATATATATATATATATATATATATATATATATATATATTCTTCCTTAGTAACTTGCTACCTGTTATTGATGCGAGTCAGTCTTGGAATGCTCTCTGTCCCCTTCTTTAAACCACTTCAAGTGCCACCTCCTTGTCCGCCTCAACCCATTGAATGTTATGGCGCTTTCCTCTTTACAGGTAACCTAAATCATAAATACAGGTTTTGATTTAGTTTAATTGGGAGGCTCAATTTATATTTAGATTTGAGACGAAAAGATTGCTATATATTTTCTTCATTTCTCTCTTTTTTTCCTATCTGTCTTTCTGTTTTCTTTCTGTGTGTCTATATCTTCATCTTTGTATATCAGTAACACTGTCTTACTATCTCTCCTCTCATATTCTCTCTTTCTCTCTTTCTATTTCTCGCTCCCCTCCTCCCCCCCCCCCCCCCACCCTGCCTGTCGCAACGCTCTACTGTCCTTCACTTATAACCTCTCTCATAAACAGGCCAAACACAGAAGTGTAATGATGAAGGTTGATGGAAATGTGAATCATCAAATTATGAAGACTTTAATTGCATCGGTATTATTGCTGCCTTAGACGAGCGCGCCCGCTTGCGTGAAATCAAATGAAATGTGATGCTAAATGTATTTGTCGATATCACATCTGTCGAATCAAGGACTTTATTAGGAACGGGAAGGGCTGCACATTCAAAGGGTGCTTCCTATCTCCGGTTCTTGTTTGGTATTTTTTGTCATTGCTGATGGATGCGCACTGGCAGATAGTCGTATAAACAAATGGATAAGAAGTTATAGATAGATAGATATATAGATGTAGATATATCGACAGATAGATATTTGAATAGATATATGAGTAGACAGATCGATAGGCATATGACTAGATAGACAAATTAATGAATAGACAAACAGAAAGAATGATATACAGATACCTACATACATACACAAATCCACATAAACATAAAAGTAGACACAATTCCTATTCATGTCTTTGGTTCCTAAGCCTCCTCCTTGCTTGCCTTGCAGATACTTCCCGTCTGACGCCGTCCTGGAACGCCTCTGTCATCACGGTCAAGATACCCAAGAACTTTCCCCTGAACGAGCCTCTCCTCACCGTGGCCCTCCTGTACAAGGCCGACCCGCCGCAGGAACACCACACGACTCTCGATGCTGAGAAATTCATCAAGGTTCTTCCCGGAAGTACGATAGGGGAGCTCAGGTTGCCCGGGGACTACGAAGATGCCGGGGTGAGTGTTTCCCTGAGCGTGCTTTTGTGAGGAGAATCGCTAGGGTGATACGTTATCTGAGTCTCACACACACACACATGCATCTACAGATAAATGTGGAATTTGCGAAATGGGTAATCCGACATTAGCGCACTAACTATATAAACAAAACTATCTAGTGTATAACAAGTCATAAAGACTTAATTGGCAACTTCTGTTGTGCATATATAATACATGAATATATTCATACGTGTGTATGTGTATTCATATATATCCGTACACATACACATACATACACAAACACAGACATACAAACGCACACACACATATGTATGTGTATATATATATATATATATATATATATATATATATATATATATATATATATATATATATATATATATATATATATATATATGTGTGTGTGTGTGTGTGTATATATATATGTATGTATATATATATATATATATATATATATATATATATATATATATATATATATATATATATATATTTGCGTGCGTGTGTGTGTGTGTGTGTATGTATACATATATATTCATACACACACACACACACACACACACACACACACACACACACACACACACACACACACACACACACACACACACACACACACACACACACACACATGTGTGTGTCAAGAAAGAGTGAGCGAGTGAGCTGCATATTATGAAGCGTCTTGTGCCTTCTTTCCTCGGTAGATCGGTTTGGGCCCTTCAAGGATTGGCGGGGATCGGCCGATGGGAGGCCTGCCAAAGCTGCCAGCTGGAGAACAGATGGTACTCTTGTCCAACCCGCAAAACCTGTTCCATCCCCGCTTACAGGATAGTAGCGATACGCTTTCCCTCCGCTTGCAGCGGCCTCTCAACTTGTACGACAATTCCACCAACTCAG